TCTTTTCTTTCTTTTTTTTTTTTTTTTGAGACAGAGTCTTGCTCTGTTGCCCAGCCTGGAGTGCAGTGGCGTGATCTCAGCTCACTGCAACCTCCACCTCCTGGGTTCAAGCAGTTTTCCTCCCTCAGCCTCCCAAGTAGCTGGGATTACAGGCGCATGCCACCACGCCCGGCTAACTGTTTTATATTTTTAGTAGAGACGGGGTTTGACCATGTGGGCCAGGCTGGTTTCAAACTCCTGACCTCAAGTGATCTGCCTGCTCAGTCTCCCAAAGTGCTGGGATTACAGGTGTGAGCCACCACGCCTGGCCTTCTTTTTAAAATAATAAACCTGAATTATGAATTGTTCCACCTGGAACTTCCTAATCTTGATGTAAATAATAACTACTATGGGCAATAAGCCAATTTCTTTTGGAAGGCTACATAACATAGGGGTAAACCACAGCCTAAAGCTAGTCCCCAGCAAAAGGTGGAGAGAAATGGGTTCAAAACCAGCTATGTGATTTTGGCTCAGTCACCTAACTCCTCTGAACCTCAGTTTTCTTGTCTATAAAATGGAGCTAACAGTATTTATCTCATACGTTACTATGAAAATTAAACACAAAATCCATGTAAAGTGCTTAATGTAGTGCATGGTACAGAACATGCAGTCAATGGTAGTTACTGTAAATGGCTCTTTGTCAAGGTTCAAATACCTTCATGGAACTCCTGAAGTCTTCAGAGGGGCCTCACAGTTATGCAGGCCAACAATCTCACTTTAACAATGAAGACCCTGAGGTCTGGGGGGAGTCCCACAGGCTTCAGATCTGTATCAGGTGCCTCTCAAGCCCTCAGAAACCTCCCTGAGGCCCAGGAATCACCTCTCCTACATGTCTGTATCCCTGATGGCACCAAGCATGGCGCCATGTTCTTATTGTATGTCAGTGGAAACAGTATCACTATGTGTCACAGGTACACACAGCCTTCTCATGATCAGGGCTTGGGTCCTTGCAGTCTGGGCATGGGTACTTTCAGGGCATATTGCCAGATTAAACCGCTGAGCTCCCACACCAATACCATCAGAGCTGCCTGGCTAGGGTGTCCCTGTGGAGCCAGCTCTGCTCTCAGGGCATCAGTGTGATGGTGGTGATATCAGCTGTTGCTTAAGGATACCCACTTGTGCCAGGCCACAATGTTAAGACCTTACATGCCCCAACTCATCAGGCCCTCACAACAGCCTTAGGAAGGAGGTACTATTATTATCCCCATTTGACAGATAAAGAAACTAAGCTTAGAGTTCTGAGCCCATCACAGATTTTAATTACTTAGTTATTTATTTGAGACAGGGTCTCACTTTGTTGCCTAGGCTGGAGTGCAGTGGCACAATCATGGCTCACTGCAGCCTTGACCTAGGCTCAAGTGACCCTCCTACCTCAGCCTCCTGAGTAGCTGGGACTACAGGTGCACAACACTACACCTGGCTAATTAAAAAACTTTTTTTTTTTTTTTGTAGAGACAGTCTTGCCATGTTGCTCAGGCTGGCCACCACAGAGTTTAATAAACACTTGGCAGACTCTTTTCTTTGCTTTCTCTCTTTGCTTATACTAATGGTTCAAATGTTCCTTCCCAAAATCCTGCTGGGGCACAAGGACAGGCCCAGTATGAAAATCTGCCAGGCTTGGTACAGGTGGGCACCAGGGGGCAGTCAGGGGAAGAAGAACTCTTCTGCACTCTCAGACCTAGGTGGCAGAAGCTCTAGGCAAGAGAAGCGATCCTGAGTCCTAACCATCTAAGCCTGTAAATGAGGCACAGAGGTATCCAAAAGTGTCCTGTTGGTTTAGGTTACAGGTGAAATCTAGCTGAGCAGAATGGAGAACTCTTATCTCACAAATGAGAACACATCTGGCTTTGATACATAAGATCTAGTTTTTCTTTCTTTTTTTTTTTTGAGATGGAGTCTTGCTCTGTTGCCCAGGCTGGAGCGCAGTGGTGTGATCTCAGCTCACTGCAACTGAGAGGTGACAACGTGCTAGCAGCCCTCGCTCTCGGCACCTCCTCAGCCTCGGCGTCTGCTCTGGCCGTGCCTGAGGAGCCCTTCAGCCTGCCACTGCACTATGGGAGCCCCTCTCTGGGCTGGCCAAGGCCGGAGCTGGCTCCCTCTGCTTGTGGGGAGGTGTGGAGGGAGAGGCAGGACTTGTGCAGGCAGGACTTGTGGGCCAGTGTCAGTTCCGGGTGGGAGCGGTCTTGGCGGGGCCGCACTCAGAGCAGTTGGCTGGTGCCACCAGCCCCAGGCAGTGAGGGGCTTATCACCTGAGCCAGCAGCTGCGGAGGGTGCGCCAGGTCCCCCAGCACTGCTGGCCCATCTACACGGCGCCTGAATTCTCCCCGGGCCTCAGCTGCCTCCGGGGCAGGGCTCAGGACCTGCAGCCAGCCATGCCTGAGCCCCACCCCCACCCCGCCATGGGCTCCCGAATGACCCGAGGCTCCCCAACGGGCACCTGCCCCCTGCTCCAGGGCGCCCGGTCCCATCGACTGCCCAAGGGCTGAGGAGTGTGGGGCCTGGTGCTGCATCCACTAGGCGAAGCCAGCTGGGCTCCTGAGTCAGGTGGGGACTTGGAGAACTTTTATGTTCAGCTGAAGGATTGTAGGTGCACCAATCAGTGTTCTGTGTCTAGCTCAAGGTTTGTAAACACACCAATCAGCACTCTGCGTCTAGCTCAAGGTTTGTGGATGCACCAATCGGCACTCTGTATCTAGCTAATCTGGTGGGGACTTGGAGAACTTTTATGGCTAGAGGATTGTAAATGCAACAATCAGCACTCCCTGTCTAGCTAAAGGATTGTAAATGCACCAATCAGCACTCTGTCTAGCTCAAGGTTTGTAAATGCATCAATCAGCACTCTGTGTCTAGCTCAAGGTTTGTAAACACACCAATGAGCACTCTGTGTCTAGCTAATCTAGTGGGGACTTGGAGAAGTTTTCTGTCTAGCACTCTGTGTCTAGCTAAAGGATTGTAAATGTGCCAATCAGCACCCTGTCAAAATAGACCAATCAACTCTCTGTAAAATGGACCAATCAGCAGGATGTGGGTGGGGGTCAGATAAGGGAATAAAAGCAGGCTGCGGGAGCCAGTAGTGGGAACCCACTCAGGTCCCCTGCCACACTGTGGAAGCTTTGTTCTTTTACTCTTTGCAATAAATCTTACTGCTGCTCACTCTTTGGGTCCACACCACCTTTATGAGCTGTAACACTCACTGTGAAGGTCTACAGCTTCACTCCTGAGGCCAGCGAGACCATGAACCCGCCAGAAGGAATGAACCACTCCAGATGCGCTGCCTTTATTACCTGTAACACTCACCGCGAGGGTCCGCAGCTTCATTCTTGAAGTCAGCGAGACCAAGAACCCACCAATTCCAGACACACAACCATCAAGTGATCCTCCTGCCTCAGCCCCCATCCCGCCCCAGTAACTGGGATTACAGGCACGCACCACCATGCCCAGCTAATTTTTGTATTTTTTAGTAGAGATGGGGTTTCACCATGTTGGCCAGGCTGGTCTCGAACTCCTGACCTCAGGTGATCTGCCCACCTCAGCCTCCCAAAGTGCTGGGATTACAGGCATGAGCCACTGCGCCTGGCCCATAAGATCTAGTTTTTCTTGAAAAGTTGTATAACAGGATTCTGTAAATTCTGAGACTTAAGTCTCACATATTTTACTACTTTTTCAAGTATCACAAGAGGAATAAGGAGAAATCCAGCATATGCAGCCTTACCACAACCGAGTGCACTACATCTGGCAAGCAAACAAGCATGGAAAGGGGGGAAGCGCCCAGAATGGAGGAGCTCATGAAGTGTCTTAGCAGAGACAACATGGCAACATCATCATGTGTGCAGCTCCAATGGCATGGGCAGGAGCACTGACCCCAAAAGAGCCAGAAAATGAAAGTCCAATGACCCGAGTGTGAAGGAATTGAGTAGAAAAGATGCTTCACTCCACATGTCAGCTGTAAAATCCACAGTGGTCTAGATAGGAAAGTGGATCACCTGAAAGACTAGCCTGACACTTAGAAAGAGACCATGTGGGGCCGGGCATGGTGGCTCATAATCCCAGCACTTTGGGAGGCCGACGTGGGAGGACTGGTTGAACTCAGGAGTTCAACACTAGCCTGGACAACATAGTGAGACCCTATCTCTAAAAAAAAGAATTTTTTAATTAGCTGGGCATAGTGGCACATATCTGTAGTCCCAGCTACTTGGGAGACTGAGGCAGGAGGATCACTTGAGCCCAGCAGGTCAAGGCTGTAGTGAGCTATGATTACGCCACTCTGGGCAACAGAATGAGACACTGTCTCAAGGAGAAAAAAAAAAAAAAAGACCATTTTGGGTTCATCCCTACTTTCTCAGAACTCTCAGCTATCTGTGCTAGAAGTCAACTGAGGAAGAAAACAAAAACCACAGCAGAATAGAGAGAGTGGAGCACAATGGTGGAACCTGTGCTCTGCTGGCATGTGAGGCCCTCCAGGCTCCTGTCCTCACTCTGACCCTCACCTAGGACAGGTATTTATTCTCTAAGCCTTAGTTTCTCAACCCTAAAATAGAAACAGAGTGTCAGCCTTTCAGAGTTGTTGTAAGCATTAAATAAGGCAGGTAAAGCATTCAGCATAGGGTCTAGCACAGTGGTTGTCAACTGGGGGTAATTTTGTCCCCTAGGGGACATTTGGCAATGTCTGGAGACATTTTGGGGTGCTTCACTGAGGAGCTACTGGCATCTAGTTGCTTGAGGTCAGAGATGCTGCTAAACATCCTACAACACACAGGACAGCCCCTACAACAAAGAATTGAACAACCCAAAATGTCCATAGTGCAAAGATTTAGAAACCCTGGCCTGGCACAGAGCAGGCACTCCATAAATATGAGCTATAAAATTCATTTATGATTATAACAATAAACCAGCTGCAGTTTCTTTCTCTCAAGGATAAGCAGCACCTATCATTAAAATAAGAGATAAAATGTATTACTTACTCCACTTCTTGTAATATTGGGTAACAGATCTGTTATTCTGGAGACAGGAAGAGTCTGGAGCTTGGTTGATTCTGGGGAACTCAGTAACTTTGTGAAATAAATAACATAGCAGAGCACCAGAACTGTGGTATAGAAAAGCTGAAAAAAAAAAAAACTGTTTTAATAAAGGCATAATTAAGATATGCCTATAAATTTGATCTCAAAGGCCAATCAAGTAATAGAACTCTCTTGATTAACTGCACTTTCTATTCAGCAATGCCTTACCCTCTGGGAAATGGCACTATTCACTTAGACCCAACTTCACTTCAGCATCTACCTGCAAAGTGTTCCCAACACTTCACTTAACTGGGAGAACATAATTCTTCTCAGCAGGCACAATGTAATTTCCGTAACAGATGTACACTAGCTCAATTACCACAGCAATGTCTGATACATTCTCAAAAGGTGTGTATTTGGCCAAAGGAACGGCTCTTCCACCTAGTCAGCACACTGCAAAGATCCATGTATCCTAACTGTGCTAATATCCAAGGACTTGTCATCATCACGGACTGTGGGTTTTCCATAAACCCCGGAAACCTGTGCCATTAATGATTACAAAGCACAATTGAGCTGCTGACTCTCTCCTCTTCGCCAGGGTAAGAGCTACTACTGACGGGGGAGGAAAGGGTAGGGTGATAAGAAGGCCCAACCCTCCCTCCACCCATCCAGGACAAAAGAATGGCTTCTGGCCAGGAGCAGTCAGATGGGTTTTGTCTGCAGATTGAGGAGGAAAGTCCAAAAAAGCCCCTTTTTACAAGCTCCCTTCAACCCTCTTTCCCTCCTGAGAACAGCAGTGCACACTGGTTCAAGAAAGACTGGGACCTCCAGACTTGCTTTCAGCCTGGCAATATCAAGGCTGCTCCTGTAGGAGCAGGGCACAGGAAAGCAAGGAAAAAGAAGAGTCTCAGTTTAGTAGGTGTGGGCCCTTCTGCTCTCCACTCCCAATCATACCTGAGATGGAGCCCATCATCCACCAGCCTTCTTCCTTCATGCTCCAAGCCCTTAAAACTCCAGCAGCAGTGCTGTGAGCCACCCACCTGATGCCAGTGTCCTCTGTGAGAAGTACCCTCTACATAAATCATTACTAAGAATCTTATCTTCCTAAACATTAATGAAAACTACAGGCCGGGCGCGGTGGCTCAAGCCTGTAATCCCAGCACTTTGGGAGGCCGAGACGGGCGGATCATGAGGTCAGGAGATCGAGACCATCCTGGGTAACACGGTGAAACCCTGTCTCTACTAAAAAATACAAAAAACTAGCCGGGCAAGGTGGCGGGCGCCTGTAGTCCCAGCTACTCGGGAGGCTGAGAAAGGAGAATGGCGTAAACCCGGGAGGCGGAGCTTGCAGAGAGCTGAGATCCGGCCACTGCACTCCAGCCTGGGCGACAGAGCGAGACTCCGTCTCAAAAAAAAAAAAAAAAAAAAGAAAACTACAACTGCTTAGCACTGTAAAATGTTCTGGTAACTATCTGATCTTAAATTTCATTTTTAAAAATAGCACTTGTATTCTAGTTATATTTTTATTAGAACTAGAAATATGAACTAGAACTAGGAAATAATGAGAAGGAAATGAAGCCTAAATTGCTAAAACTGAAAATATACCTACTCTGACTTGATTCATGCTCTCTGAATTATGTGAGATTTCAATATAAGTTTAAAACAGGCTTGGCAGAGTTTTCACCTATCCTGCAAAAACCTGATGGAAATCCAGGGAAAATAATACACATGCAATTTGATTCCCACCCCACCCCCCACTGCTTTTTTTCTCCTTTACAAAACTACCAGACAACCAAAGATCAGTTTGAAACAGGCTTGCCCACTGAATGTCTAAAAACGGTTTTTGATGTTTGACAATGAAGTTCAGTGTGTGGCCCTCACCAGGTCCCTAGAAACACCTACGGTCTCAGTGTATGGAACACAATGGACCTGGCAGCCAGAGTAGCAGTGCCAAGGCCACCCTTCTGGTGCTTCCACCTCCTGCATAGGCATGGGTACTGCAAATGCAAACCCCACAGCGGTGGGAACAAGAAGAAAAACCAGTTGGAGAAACAAAGATCATATAAAAAGTTAAAAGCCATGATTCTTACCTGGGCCAAAGAGAAAATGTACAATCCCCAGTGAGGCAACCACAGCACGAGAAAAGCTGTCAGAATGCTCTTAAGAATTACCGACAGGCTCTCAGCAATCACCTGCAAACATGTGGTTAAGGTGCAGTTTACAAACATTATCAAAAAGTCAAGACATAACGGAATGATAGACAGAAAATCTCAGGCAGTGGCTACTCTGGCTATGGGGACAGGGCACACAGCTGGACATAAGTATCAGTAACGTTTTACTTCTTGGGTAGGGTGGTGGGTTCATGGATCTTCCAGTATATTACGCCTTAAGATTTACATTATATATATATTCTTTTGTAATCTATTCTAAAAGATGAAGAGAGAAAAGTTAATATTAATATACAACTAAATACAGTCACTAGAAAAACCTGAAAAACCTTTACGGTTCTTCTACATTCTGACTTGAACTAATAAATTATTAGCAAACCTATTTTTTATTTATGGTCAAACAGAGGTGAACTTTAGCCTAGCCTATCCGACAAATTTCAAGTGGAAGAACTTAACTGACCATGTTAACTTAACTGACCATGTTAACCTTTTTCTAAATACATTTTTAGGTGCAAGTCTGGAAAAATCATTCTCTCCTATAAAAGCATTTTAAAAAAGCAACGTTTTTTCTTATTCTTCCCATTCCCCATTCACAGCAGAAGGCGCACTCACCTTGAGCTTCACAAACATATGTGCTTGTGCCAAGACCCAAAAGGGCTCTCCTAGAAGCTCCACCACTGCCGAGAGACCAAACAGCACCACTCCAGTTGCATAGTGAGGGACAACATGAGGATCAGGCACTTCAAGCAGCTGCAACCAGACCCAGCCCAGGAATAAGGACCAAAACACACCCAGGGGGACTCTGGAAGAGGAGAAAAAAATAATTCACTAAATTTTAAAATAAATAGAAATATCTATTAAAATAGTAACACTGAACAGAAAAAAAAAAGTTATAATACAAACAGCTCCCATTTATTTATTAAGATACTAACTACATGCCAGGCACTATGATTAACGCCCCTTATCTCACTGACACCTCACAATGATCCTCTGTCAGTATCTCCATTAAAAAAAAATGAGGAAACTGAGGCTGACAGGCACTGGGCAATTTGGCCAAGGTCATGAACAGCTAATCAAGAGCAGAAGCAAGACCCAATCCTGCTATAACTCCAAAGCCTACACTTCTATCCACTGGGTTACACATACTGACCCATAAGCAAAATTCCCAGAAAGAAAATGCCTGTTGTTGAGAATGACTGACAGACTGTATACAGCTGTTCCTTGCATCCCAAATAACAAACAGAGCAGTGCTCAGTATCCTTTCATATGTTTCACATGTGTGCCACGGGGCATTTGAATATGCCTGGGTGGTTAACAGTTGTTCCTCTAATAAAATGAACACCTACCAGCCCTCACGACAGTCATTTCTGTGAGGCAAAAAGGAGTTATGCAAGGGCAGCATTGGGAAACAACCTCAATCCCCAGCCCTCCCTGCAGGGACATAGCTGGAGAAAAGCCATTGCAATTTCAAGCTAATGTACTTGATCTTCAAGAATATCCTAAAAGACTCAGAACTGAAGTCATATAACAAAATTGAAGAAAAATGTAATGAACCCATAAGAGGCTTTCAAGAAATACTAAATCTAAGTGGCTGTTAAAAGCTCAAAAGATATTATAGAGCAAAAAGATTAGGAATAAAAAAGATGGCACAGGCCAAGTGGAGCCCACAGTGGTGATCAGAAACAGCAAGAAACCACCTCCAAAGAGGATGAAACCAGGGCTAGAAACCTGGCCCAGAAACCCCAACCTAGAACCTCTTCCTGGCTCCTGGACATCCAGAGAGAAAATGAGCCAAGAAGTTCCTTTGACACAAACACTCTCCCCTTCTTGTCGTATGCCTGCTCCCAGAAACCCATGGCGAAGCTGAATCTGGAGGCAATTTAGCTTTAGGCACGTGTTACTGTTTCACTTCCAATGCTCACTACACCTGCCTTCCTGAAATGTGTCTCCTGCCAAAGCACAACTCACGTTAGCCACAGCAGGTTGAGGGTCTGGCTCCAATCTCGCTGGGTGACCCCACTGAGACATGCTCTGCGGAAGGCCTCTCTGGCCAGGAAGAGGGTGGTTGAGTAAAGCAGCGTTAGTCTGTAAATGAAAGGCAGAAATCAATAAGGTCTCGAGTTTTTTCACAGAGAGAACTTCTGGGATATTTCCAGCAACAGGGAGGAGATAAAGTCTTGGTCATAAACCACTGATGGTGACATGGAGGGCAGTGGGCTCTTACAGGACCCCCTACTGGTCTGATCCATGAGAACTACTGAGTTAGGAACCAAACGAAAGATACCTGAGGGTGTGTGCCTACAGTTATATGAAGGATAGAAACTGCTGCAGTGGTCTCAAAAGCCTGTAGCCTTCATAGCTACAGGAAGAGGTGTGGCCATGACCACAAGGACGAGAAGATAATAAGATTATAACCCCACCCTTCTTGGTCACGCAGACACGAGTGACTGATAGCCCCTGTGAGAAAAGCTGAGCCTCTACCGAGTGGAGGCTCTGGCCAAAAGAATCACAAGACAGACAATAAGGCTGGCAACCATTACAGAGGCTGCTGCAACCCAGATCAGCAAGGCTTGCCTGGGCACCTCCCAGATGGGCAGCACCTAGGTGAGCCTTCCTGCACCTTAGTGAGGAGTAGCTGAGATTTCCCTCCTCAATAGGCAGCAGCCTGGGTGAAGCCAGAGTGGGGATGGCCCAGGGTGAAGGTCTCTGGGGTTGTCCAAGGATTATCCTGCTACCCAGTGCCTCTGTGGAGCATTGCAAATAAGGAGATGGAACCGAACCTTAAGCAGGGGGGCAGGGCAGGCCAGACAAGGGCTGTCAAAGTAGGGACCTGCCAATCTCAGGACGCCTGCCTAGGGAGAAAAATCTGAGCCCCTAGGAGGATTTGCCCCCTTCCTTTCTGCTTTTAAAAAAGTATTTCTTAGGGCCAAGTGCCTATATTTCTCAGGCTCATGCCTATAATCCCAGCACTTTGGGAGACTAAGATGGGAGGATTGCTTGAGCCCAGGAGTTCGAGACCAGCCTGGGCAACACAGTAAGACCTCATCTCTACAAAAAATAAAAAAAATTAGCCAGGTGTGGTGGTGCACACCTGTAGTCCCAGCTGCTCAGGAGGCTGACATGGGAGCATCGCTTGAGCCCAAGAGGTCAAGGCTGCAGTGAGCCATGATGGTGCCACTGCACTCCAGCCTGGGCGACAGGGCAAAAGGAAGAAGAACAAGAACAAGAAGAAGACGAAGAGGAAGACGAAGAAGAGGAAGAGGAAGAAGAAGAGGAAGGAGAAGAAGGAGAAGGAGAAGGAGGAGGAGAAGGAGAAGAAGGAGAAGAGGAGGAAGAGGAGGAAGAGGAAGTGGAAGAGGAAGGAGGAACAGGAAGGGGGAAGAGGAAGAGGAAGAAGGAAGAAGAGGAAGCAGAAGAGGAAGAAGGAAGAAGAGGAAGCGGAAGAAGAAGGAAGAAGAGGAAGAGGAAGAAGGAAGAAGAGGAAGAGGAAGGAGGAAGAGGAAGCGGAAGAAGAAGAGGAAGCAGAAGAAGAAGATGAAGAAGGAAGAAGAGGAAGCAGAAGAAGAAGAAAGAAGAAGCAGCAGCGGCGGAAGAAGCAGCAGCAGCAGCAGAAGCAGCAGCGGAAGAAGCAGCAGCATTAGAAGCAGCAGCGGAAGAAGAAGAAGCAGAAGTAGCAGAAGAAGCAGCAGAAGCAGCAGCAGCAGCAGCAGAAGAAGCAGAAGAAGAAGGAAGAAGCAGAAGCAGAAGAAGGAGAAGCAGAAGCAGAAGAAGGAGAAGCAGAAGGAGAAGGAGAAGCAGGAAGAGGAAGAGAAGGAGGAGGAGGAGGAGGAGGAGAAGGAGAAGGAAGAGAAGGAGAAGGAGAAGGAGAAGAAAAAAAGAAAACAGTATTTCTCAAAGAATGGTCCCTGTTTCAAAATCACCTAAGGAGCTTGTAAAAATGCAGACTCCTGGGCCCTTCTTCAGCACTACGTAGTGCAAAACTCCACAGATGATTCCTTTCCTCAAAGCTTGAGTCCTGCCACTAAGCTCTGAGACCAGAGCCAAGAGGATATGTTTGTTAAGTATTAGACATGAAATGCTGTCTGGAACATACTGCCTCATTTATCAGGACATGAAGACACACCTGAGAAGCTGAGCTATTCCTAGCACTCACATCATTTCATGTATTTTGTGTCATTTGTGAAGACAAAATATGTGTGGGTGTCCTTGAATAGAAAGGAGGTGAGTAGAAGAAACAAGCTGAGTCTAAAAGACAAAGAAGTCATCTTTCCAAGAGCCTCCAAGAAACCAATGACAAGGACTCAAGCTCGGATCCCAGTTGCTGTATCCCAATTATAAAATCACTGAGAAGGGAAGGAAGGTGGCTGCTCCAGCCCTGCAATTATGAAGTGCATCCTCACGAAGTGCACAATTTCTGCTTCCTTTGCTGTCAGCAGGACAAGAACATAGGATTATACCTGAGAGGGAGTTTTTAATGAATTACTCCCACTCTTCTCCTTCCTGACTTCCAAGAGCAGGAAAACCAGAACAGCTGGCAGAGAAATGTGCATTTGGAGGCTGCTAATGGAAAACACTCCATGAGTCCATTAAAAGCAACATTGCCTGCATGTCCCTCCACTCCTGCACGCTTCTCCTCAGCCTACTGCTAAAACACTCTGCTTCTGGTAAAGGTCCATGCTTCTAGAATCCAAGGATAACACACAGGTACAGAGTGTGAAGAAAGCCTGGCTAGGAAGGTGAACTCTGACAGTGCCAGGGTGCATCTCCTCCTACCTTACATTTACCACGCCAACAATTTCCTTTGACAGGAAGCGAAGAATAAATGCATTCAAGACAAAGGTGATCAACCGAAACAACACCTATAGAAAAAGAGGAAAAATACGTAAGAATAAATGACGTTAGGAGTGTTTACTTTGCTGAAATGAGAACAATGTGGCTGTTCTTCCTAACGTGAGGTAATGACATACACCAGCTTTGTCACGGAGACTCTGCTCTAAGACGCCCGACCTGTCTGCATTTCTCCTGAAATTTCACTCCTTGGGATCTCTCAGCACTCCCGTGCAGTGGTCAGAGAACCCTGGAAGGCACTTGGAAGGCTCCCTAATTTATTAATAACAAGAAAGAGGCCCCAATAGACTCACTGAGTTTCTACAGGTTCAAAGTCAAGCTCTTGAGGAAGCAGAAAGAGAATTCTAGTTAGTGGTTCACCTTGCTGGGCCCTAGCCACACTCCCCCACGCCAGGCTGTTTAGAAATAGCACACACTTAGCAAGTGGGAGCCTTAAGGGTATAGCAGACTCACCAGAAATCATGGGGTCTAATTTCTCTTTTCTTCTCTGCCTCATAATATCTAGGAATTTCAATAATGACATTTAATTGTTCTGAATTTCAGTTTTCTCAATTAGAACACAGAAAATGTATTTCTTTATTGAATACTTGTCTCTTTCCAGAGAGGAGTTGAAATACCTTTTAAATGATGCTGCAAAAATAAGACAACGTAGTGTAACATGGGGGGAAGGGAGACAGAGTCCAGTTATTGCTGCTTGAAAGGGACATATACTGAGACTTCCCAATCTGTCAATTCAAGAAAACCACCTAAGCAAAGAACTTCTCCCATGACACACAGAGAGGACGACTGTCATTAAACAGGGTTGCTAAATGGGGATGCTGGGAAGAGTGCAAACCTCATTCACTAAATGACTCCCTCCTGCATCCCAGCAGCAAATGAAAATCACTTCTGTGTTAAGCACCCTCAGAGTTATCTGTGAAGAGCTGCAATTTGGAAGATTTGATCTAAGCATATCAAAGGACTACTGTGGTCATAAAGGTATGACCAAAAAGGGAGAGCACCTAACACTGTAACTAAAGTGTCACAGAGCAACAAGGTCTCCAAAGCCAAGAAATGACCATCTCAACCTTTATGGAGTCAAAGGTGGTCTTTTGAGTCTGATGACAGCTCTGTAGCTGCTCCTTAGAAACATGCAGATATGGCCAGGCACGGTGGCTCATGCCTGTAATCCCAGTACTTTGGGAGGCCGAGGCAAGTGGATCAACTGAGGTCAGGAGTTCAAGACCAGCCTGACTAACATGGTGAAACCCTGTCTCTACTAAAAATACAATTCACCATTTAGCTCTTCTATCTGTTATCTTCTAATTGTTATAAGCCTCAATGTCCTCTGTCAAATGAGGTTACCTATCACGTAGGGTTGATTAAAAGGATCAAAAGAGATTGCAGGGCTGAGTACAGTGGCTCATGCTTGTAATCCCAACACTTGGTTGGGCGCCGTGGCTCACACCTGTAATCCCAGTACTTTGGGAGGCCAAGGCGGGTGGATCATGAGGTCAGGAGATCGAGACCATCCTGCCTAACACAGTGAAACCCTGTCTCTACTAAAAATACAAAAATTTAGCCAGGCATGGTGGTGGGCGCCTGTAGTCCCAGCTACTCGGGAGGCTGAGGCAGCAGAATGGCGTGAACCCTGGAGGCGGAGCTTGCAGTGAGCCAAGATATTACACCACTGCACTCCAGCCTGGGCGAAAGAGTGAGACGCTGTCTCAAAAAAAAAAAAAAAAAAAAATCCCAACACTTTGGGAGGCTGAAAGGTAGGAGAACCACTTGAAGCCAGGAATTTGAGACCAGCCTGGACAACACAGTGAGACCTCATCTTCACAAGAAATATTTTTAAAAGAAATGAGACTGTAGAGGTGAAAGCATTTTTTAAGTGCATACAAATGAAAGGCATTAATACTTTCAGCATGGGTGGCTCAGAATTAAGATAGAACAAGCTCTCAAATTCTTGTAGAATAAGATGTAACCGCAAAGCTACCTAAAGTGTCTACAGTGTAATTCGAGAAAGCACACAAGAATGAAAACACTCAAGAAACCATATAAAAATATGGTTATTAAAACAAAAAAATCCGAGCAAGGCTCCATCCCAAAAACAAAAAACAAAAAAAACATGTGTACACACTTATGTTAACCTCAAAGCTATCACTGTCTAAGAAACTTAATGTTGGCTGGGCACGGTGGCTCAAGCCTGTAATCCCAGCACTTTGGGAGGCCGAGATGGGCGGATCACAAGGTCAGGAGATCGAGACCATCCTGGCTAACACGGTGAAACCCCATCTCTACTAAAAAAATACAAAAAAACTAGCCGGGCAAGGTGGCGCACGCCTGTAGTCCCAGCTACTCGGGAGGCTGAGGCAGCAGAATGGCGTGAACCCTGGAGGCGGAGCTTGCAGTGAGCCGAGATCCCGCCACTGCACTCCAGCCTGGGCTACAGAGCAAGACTCCGTCTCAAAAAAAAAAAAGAAATTTAATGTTTCAGGCCATATCCGTATCTCCTCTTTTTTTTTTTTTTTTTTTTTTTTTTTGAGACGGAGTCTGGCTCTGTCGCCCAGGCTGGAGTGCAGTGGCCCGATCTCAGCTCACTGCAAGCTCCGCCTCCTGGGTTCACGCCATTCTCCTGCCTCAGCCTCCCGAGTAGCTGGGACTACAGGCGCCCGCCACCACGCCCAGCTAATTTTTTTGTATTTTTAGTAGAGACGGGGTTTCACCGTATTAACCAGGAGGGTCTTGATCTCCTGACCTCACGATCCACCCGCCTCGGCCTCCCAAAGTGCTGGGATTACAGGCATGAGCCACCGCACTTTGGGAGGCCGAGCCCATATCTCCTAATTGGTTTGAATAAAGGTTGCAGCTAATGAAGCTGAGGTTGCTTATGCCACCCAGTATTTGCCACACACTGTAGCCCTTATTAGCCCTTAAAGCAACACAGCCTTCATTTACTTCTGCAAAGGACTTTACAGCTTTTGTTTTAACACAAGGTCTCACTCTGTTGCCCAGGCTGGAGTGCAATGCCATAATCACAGCTCACTGCAGCCTCAACCTCCCAGGCTCGAGATCCTCCCACCTCAGCCTCCTGCGTAGCTGGGACTACAGGTGCACACCATCACGCCCATCTAATTTTTGTATTTTTTATAAAGACAAAGTTTCACCATGTTGCCCAGGCTGGTCTTTAACTCCTGAGCTCAAGCAATCCTCCTGCCTTGGCCTCCCAAGTGCTGGGATGACAGGCATGAGCCATCACGTCCAACCAACTTTACAGTTTTAAAAAAGGCTCTCTCACATCTGTTAAATTATTTGACATTTAAAAACAACCAGGTAAATGCACAGGAAGCAATACTGGGGGTTAAGTGATTTCTTCAATGTCACATGGCAAGCAAATGACCCAGCTTGACCTTACAGGTAAGCCACCTGACTCGTAGTCCAGTGTGTTTTCCGCTACAACTTGTTTTCGTTTTATGAAGCCTATCTGGGTACTAAGATATTATCAAAGGCTGAAAAAAAAAATCAACACTGTGGATAAAGCACTAAACTCAGTTATTTGTGTAGTGAAACAGGATAAAAAAACAAACAACCCTAAGTAAACTTAGAATGGCTAACATTTACTAAGCACGTATCATGTGCAAGGCACTCTTCAACATGCTTTCCATAGGTTATCTCATTTCATTCCTACATTGACTATTTTAAAAATCCTTATTATCCTAATAAAAATAGCTACATTTATTAAGTACTTGTAGTGTGCCAGGCACTTAAGAGGCATGATTTCATCTAATCTTCCTAATGACCCTGTGAGGTTGCACTATGGTTCTCATTTAAGATGAAGAAACTGATACTCACGGAAGTCATGGGATTTATCCCGAAGGAGTGCATCTAGCAAGTGACAAGGCCCAAACTCAAGCCCCATTCTGCTTGGTTCTTTCTTCTGCCCTCCATCTGCCTAAGATAAGGGGTAGGGTAGATTCAAGACTTGTGTGAAGTAGGGTTGATTGGCTCAAGAGTGAGACAGAGAGATATTGAGCCGCTTGACTTAAAAGGTTCAGCTCCTGGGGTTGAAAGAATCTTCAGATACCATTTGGACTAACTGGCATGTATCATATCTGACAGATGACAAAAATTAGGGGCAAGAGGTGAAGTGACTTGTCCAAGATCACATAAACAGAAGATGCAGCCAACATGTATTAAATGCATACTTAGAGCCGGGTACTGTGTTAAGTACGTTTATTTGAATGATCCCAATCAATTCTTGCTTATGAGCTAGGTACTACATATTATTACCCCCATTTTACTAGTGAGGAACTCAGGCTCTGCAGGTGAAGTCACTTGTCCTGGGTCACGGAGCAATCCAAGCCTAACTCCAGATTCCTGTTCTTAGCTATGCCATATGGTCTCTCGGAACTCAGTGGGACTCAAAGTTTGAGGGCCGTGTTTGATGAAGGAAATGAACCCCTTGCCTGAAAAATACCAGATTCTCGAGCACGAAACACCAGTCCCTCACCCCGACCACCTGATCTAATTCACTCCTCCTGCCATATGGGAAATAGAATGCTCTGAAGGAAAGCGGCTTGTCTGCAGTCACCCGGCCTAGACTCTGAAGGCAGGCTCCCATCTCCGGGCCAGGCACCCCCCTCACCAACGCCACCGTCTCCGGTAGACCCCCACCCCCTCCATTGCGGGGTCCACCTCGGAACTGGGTCGGCCCTGGGGCAGGCTCTCAAGGGCCCGAGGGCTGCCATCCCGCAAATCTCGGCTGCAGTACAAGCTGAAACCTGACGGGCAGAGAGTACCTGCAGGATGAGACCGGAGGAGGCCAGCCGGGCCGCCTGGCCCAGCACCTCCTGGCTGCCCATAGCCTGGCCGCCAGGCTCAGACACCAGGAAATGCCGCCGCCACTCCGCTTAGTCGCGATAAGATGGCGTCACGGAGCGCCTCGCTCTCTGATTGATGGCCTTGAGACAGGGGGGCGGGGCACGAGAGGTTCTGGCCCTTTAAGTGGGCCCGGCACGGTCGGTCTGTTATGGCGCCTGGCTCTTCCTATTTCAGTAGGTCCTGCGCTGTCTGTCGCTTGTGCGCTGTCTGTCCCTCTCTTCCCCGTATAAACGAAATAGTGTGGCGAGTACTAAGAGATACTGTTAAAGAAGTCAACGTTCCTTCTCTGAGGCTTTCAGCCACCAACCAAGAAGCACTTTCCTGGCCTCATCTGCCAAAAGGGGAACAAACTTCTCATTGGCCTGTTAAGAAGACTCTTACCATTGACCTTTGCTTACAAAATCACAGCCACAGCCACACTGAATTAGGCTGGACAGGAATTGTCCTTATTTAACAGAGAAAGAACTGAGGACCAGAAGTTAAATACAGCACTGCCATGAGAATGGTTTTGTGAAGTCCATCGGAAAGCTCTGAGAATTGGCCCCTGTGGTTAGAGATGAGTAAAGCCTTGGAGATGGGAAGTGACTTGTTCGAATCTACACAGCTTGTTTCCTGACCGAGTGGATGTCAGGCTCCTGATCCTAAACGTATCACTCTTACCTGTATGCTAGAAATTGTGAGGGCAGAGTGGAAGAAGGACTGGAAGTGCTTCGTAAAATGTAAAGCGCCCAACATACACAGTAAGCCGTTGCTCTGTCAGTGATAATCTGTGTTCTTATTATCTACCACGCAGGCTGGAGGAAGCCCAGTCTTTCCCCAGTCTCTTTTAGGCCTCACATGATTTGGCCCCAACCTATCTTCTACTGCCTTTCACACGATCATTGCCCTTCCCAACACTATCTAGGCCATAGCCATTCCGAGTCCTTACCGGTCCTCAAACAGGCGGTGACTCACTGGCCTTTGCTCCTCCACCCTCTCTGTCCAAAGTGTCTTCCCTGACAGCACCCCTTGCGCTCCTAGACCACACTGTCCTGACTTTCCTGGCCAACCACACCTGGTACCTGCTGTGGACTAAATGTTTGTGTCCCCTCAGGATTCATGTGTTGAAGCCTAATCCCCAGTGTGATAGTATTAGGAGGCAGGGCTTTTGGGAAGTAATTAGGTCATGAAAGTGGAGCCCTCATAATGGGATTCATGTCCTTATAAAAAGAGATGTCAGAAAAATGATCTCTGTGTCTACCACTTGAGGATACCGCAAGAAGGTAGCTGTCTGCAACCAGGAAGAAGGCTTTGTAAAATGTAAAGCGTCCAACATACACTTACCAGGAACCAAACTGGCTAGCACCTTGCTCTTGGGCTTCCAGCCTCCAGAACTGTGAGAGAGAAATTTCTGTTTTTGACTTACCCAGTCTATGGTATTTTGTTACAGCAACCCAAGCAAATTAAGACAGTATTCCTAAAATACTTTGTACCCCTTTACAGTTCCTGGTGCAACCTGCATTATAGCAGAAAGACTAAAATATGTGTCTCTATTTAATCAGCCCATGAGCTCCAAGAGGGCAGAAGTGCAGCCTGCCTGGTTTTGCCTCCCCAAGTAGTGGTACAGAGCATTCCTAGGGCTTGCATAAATGTCTCCTGACACATGATTGCTGTTACTGCTGCTGGAAGCAGACTGTGGAACTCAAAACCTATACACTCCCATCTTGCCAGGTAAAATGACCTCTGTCTTAGTGTGGAGGCCCAGAATGTGAGGTATTTTATTTTTCTTTTCTTGTCTTTTCTTTTTTTTCTTTTTTCTTTTCTTTTCTTTTCTTTTTTTTTAAACAGGATCTCACCCAGGCTAGGGTGCAGTAGTACAGTCTTGGTTCACTGCAGCTTTCACCTCCTGGGCTCAGGTGATCCTCCCACTTCAGCCTTCCGATTAGCTGGGACTACGGGCACGCACCACCAGACTTGGCTAATTTTTTTGCGATTTTTGTAGAGATGGGTTTTTCCCACGTTGCCCAGGCTGATCTCCAACTCCTGGACTCAAGTGATCTGCCTACCTCAGCCTCTCAAAGTGCCAGGATTACAGGCATGAGCCACCGCACCCAGCCCAAGAATGAGAGCTTTTGACTGTCAGAGAGAACTGGCCTTGAATCTTCATTCTACCACTCACTGACTAGGTGACCTTAGTATGCTCAGCTACTAAATAGGGATATTATCTGTCCTGTAAAAGGAGTCATAAGGATTATATCAGACAAGTCTGGCCCTCAAGGAGCTTAAATTCTAGTGAAAGGGAAACTGAAAAAAACTCAAACAAATAAAATTTCACATAGGGCTAAGTGCTATGAAAGAATGAAACCAGATAAGATCATAGAGGCTTTGGAAGAGAGAGAGGGGTGCTGTTTTAGGAGGAGTGAGTCGGGCACCCACCTGGGGAGGAGTGTACTTGGAGAATAGAGAAAGTGCTAGAGGGTCCAGGTATTTGGCATAATGACTGAGATGCTAAAGACCTTGACCTGGGCAGCCTTCCCACCCCCATGGACTGTGGGCCAGCAGGTGAGACGGCCTCCCACTTCCTTTATTCCCAGCCAAGCAGTCTCCTCCTCCACAGCTCATCGCCAGAGAAGAACCAGCCAAGAGTTCATCATGTGCACACACTCCTAAGCCTGGCATCCGTGTAAGCTGCTTTGGGAGGGAAGAAGTGATCATTTTGCTAGGGAAAAAAAGCCAAAGGGGAAAAGCTCTAAGCTAAGTATAAAGGGCAAAGCATTCTAGGACCCCAAGGTATGGACTCTGTGGGGCTCCTGGGTGAGGAATCCGGGGACTTTTTCTCTTATTTTGGAAGTTAACACTTGGCAAGGAGGGACTGAGCAAAGCCCAGAGCCATGCTGGATTCTGGGGTGGGTGGGGAAAAAGGAACTGTGAGGAGAATCCACAAACATTGACCACTGACTCCATGTCAGGCACCTGTCTGAGCACTGTACATGCGTGTACTCCATCCTCTCAATACCTATGAGAGAGGGACTGCAGATCAGGAAACTGAGGCACAGGGATGTGAAGTAACTCATCCAAGGTCATTCAGCAAAAGAGTGGTCAAGGAGGTGTGTGAACTCGGGTCCCTTCTAATTCCAAATGTGTGAATAGTAATGTTCTTCCCCTCAAAAAACCTTCTGATTGTAAAGGAGACTTAAGAGTCCCTATATGTAAGCCACTGAGAACATATGTGGCATTGAGAGAGTGGAGTCTGGGAAGGCTGCAGTGGTAGAGCTGTGGTAGGCTTGGGGGCGTACCCTCCTCCCCAGCAAGGCTCTCCAAAGGTCTTGACCCTGTTGGAGATACTGGCCTGCACACTCCACTGGGTGTCACATACTCCATGGTCTTGCCCATGGAGGACTCAGCTCAGGTCTGGCAAGCAATGGCCCACTGGATGTTACATTTTGTATGGCCTACAAGCTAAGAATAGTTTTTACATTTGTAAATGGTTGGAAAAAAATCAAAAGAATATTTCATGACACATGAAAATGGCTGGCTGGGCGCGGTGGCTCAAGCCTGTAATCCCAGCACTTTGGGAGGCCAAGACGGGTGGATCACGAGGTCAGGAGATCGAGACCATCCTGGCTAACACGGTGAAACCCCGTCTCTACTAAAAAAATACAAAAAATTAGCTGGGCGTGGTGGCGGGCGCCTGTAGTCCCAGCTACTTGGGAGGCTGAGGCAGGAGAATGGCGTAAACCCGGGAGGCGGAGCTTGCAGTGAGCTAAGATCTAGCCACTGCACTCCAGCCTGGGCGACAGAGCGAGACTCTGTCTCAAAAAAAAAAAAAAAAGGTATAAAATTCAAATTTCAGTGTCCACCAGGTACAGTGGCTCACACCTGTAATCCCAGCACTTTGGGAGGTCAAGGTGAGTGGATCACTTGAGGTCAGGAGCTCGAGACCAGCTTGGAAACATGGTGAAACCCCACCTCTACAAAAAAATACATAAATTAGCCAGACATGGTGGTGCGTGCCTGTAGACCCAGCTACTGAGGAGGCTGAGGTGGGAGGATCATTTGAGTTTGGAGAGATCAAGGTTGCAGTGAGCTATGATCATGCCACTGCACTCCAGCCTGGGCAACAGGGTGAGACCCTTGTCTCAAAAAAAAAAAAAAAAAATTTCAGTGTCCACAAATAAAGTTTCATTGGAACATAGCCACACCTACCCATTTGTTTACATATCAATAGCTACTCTCTTGCTACAACAGCAGAATTAGGTTGGTCCTATTGGAATAATATTGGCTAGCTGAAAATATTTGCTAGTTGGCTCTTTACAGAAAAATTTTGCCAATTCCTGGTGATCACCATTGAGCACCTGGGATATAGTAAACATTTCAATATTGAATGAATGTATGCATGGGTAAGTGCATTGGAATAAATGAATGATGAAGGACTAGGAAAGGAAGAAAAACAAGTACATAGGGCTCTTTCCTGGGGTCACCTAGTTTGGAGAGGAAGTGGCCTCTTGAGAATACCAGACTGTAATTGGTGGTCATTAAAGGAGCCATTTTCCCCAGCCTTCCTCCCCGCCTCCCGTGTCTGTGCCAGGTAGCCTCCCTGTCAGGGAAATCTGACCCAAGCCACCTATTTTATTACAAAGCTGGAGGGAAGTGCCAGAGCTGGTACCAAGCCAATTAGGCTCCCAGGGCAGAGGGGCAGGGAGGGAGGCTGCCACTGGGCCAGGAGACAGGGTGGAACCTCTGGTCAGCTGGGCCATGGATCTCAGCTGGGTGGAGGCAGGAGAGCTGGGCATGGTCTCACACACCAGCCACTAGGTGGCAGATGGTTCTGGGTGAGGGCGCTGCCTGGCCAAGGCTTCTGCTTTCCAGAGCACCACCATCAGAGCCCCTTCCAGAAGCAGGACCTCAAGGCTCTGCCTCTCTCAAAAGTCCCAGGGCATGAGAATGCGGCTGTGATACTAGTCGTCCACATCTGTCCATGCAAGCACTGTGCTGGACACCTCACTTTCGTGATCTCATTTAATTCCCATAGCAGCCCTACAATGTAGGCACCATTATTATCCCCA